CCACCACCACCACCCACCCCTCTCTCTCAGCCCCACAGGGCCCATGAACTCACTTTCCTGCCATCTCGTAGAAGATCATCCGGTCAAAATTGCTTGTGTGCTGCCATTCCTGCAGGGACCACCAAATTCCCTCCTCCAGGGTCATGGTGGGCTTCCGTCGGGCCAGTGATCTTAGGACTGGGCTAAAACCTCAGGCATTTCAGTAACTTTCTGAAATTATATCTCCACCCTCATTTTGACCACACACCTCCACACATCCCCTAGCCCTTATAACATTCCTCTGGTTATTGGTCCACATCAACCCCCTCTTTTATGCTTGACCCTCAGACATCGAGTACTTTTGCTTCCATTTCTACCACTCAGAAAGCCTGAGAACTCTCCTGAGATGTGCTCTTGGAAGGAACTGCCTGAAGAAAAGGATGTGCTTCGTGGGGCGAGGTGGTGAGGTACGGACATGTTCTTTCCGTTGTTCGGCCATGGGAGTAGGAATAAAGCTCTTTAAAATCATTTTTTAGAAAGTGCAAGTTATTTGATATACCAGTTGACCTACAATGACAAAGTTGCGGGGCAGGCTTGAAAGAAATGTAGGGTGTCCTTCAGAAAAACAAACTGCTCAGATGATTATTTGTTCTGTGTTTCTTTCACAAAATCCCACCTGTGATTTGCATGATTTCTATCTGTCCCTTCACATTGTAGTTAGAGAATTTTGTTGCTGTTGTGAACACTGTGCTTGTCTGCATTTCCTTTCCTTCCTAGCATTCCTTATTGAGGCACAACCTGTGTCCAGTGCTTGGCTGAGTAGATCACCTCCTAGCTCATGCTGTCCTCTTAGAAATCCTCTGAACTAATCAGAGTGGGCTGCTGGATGACATACTCAGGAATGAATCAGTGCAGTGTTTTGCTCAGCATTACCGTACAGCGAGGGAAGAACATAAGCACTTCACCATTATGCATTCACTACCACTCCCTTGCTCTAACTGCAATCTTCCAATGGAACTAGGTTGGGCATATATTTAAAAATCATTTTCTCAGGGCCGCACTCTGAATTGGATATGAGACTGGCCCACCTGTGCTCAACACCTATTTCAGAAGGTAAAAGCAAATGAGAGGAATAGGGGATAGGGAGTGTGAGCCTTAAATTTACACTATAGTTTCTCATATTACAACAGAAATTAGCTGATATGTAAGATCGTGAAAGTACTCACTAGGGCAATGGTAAAAATATTAAGGTTTGCTTCTTATGTAGGGCGTGAGGATCAATTGAAATGAAATACATTAAAGGGTATTATATACATGGACATGTGAGTAATAATTTTGAGAATGTACTTTTTAATAATGTGTCACATCAAGACCCAGCTTCGAGTATTCCTAAAGAACCTAACCACTCCTGTGAGTCCCCAAGATGTCTTTATTTGATAGCTGCACTATAATCTCAGAACGCTTCCCAATAGTACATCAGAACTGCCCCACGGACCAGGGTACTTACATTAGAAAACAGGAAAGCGCTTCAGTGTCAGGGCTTTGAGGGTAGTGCGTCTCCGCCAGAGGCTTGAAGCTTTGCCACAGTCGGTAATTCTCATAAATACTCTGGGGATTACAGGTGGAGTCATCCAAGGAGAGCCTGGATTGGGTGGTGGCCAGCCCTTCTGCAGAAACACTATGTTGTGCTGGTTGACCCTTCGCTTTGGGGAAAATGGAGGTCAGCTGGACAGCTGGTGGTGGAACTGGACAAGCTGGGAACAACCCTCTCTTCCAGGCTTGAGTTTTCACAAGAGAAGTGGTCAGAGCCATTTTCTCCACAGCAGAGGCTGCCTCTAAAGGTGATGGAGCCTGCTCAGTAGCCCCATCAGGAGCCACTGGGGCATTCCAGTTGAGGGAGGTCTTGGTGCTGACAAAGGACTTAGCTCCAGGATGCTCTGTTTCTCTCCCTTCTACTCTAACTTGAACAATGACCTTGCCAACTCCTGCCCGACTAGAGCCAGAGTCTTGAACTCCTCTGACCAGCAGTGCCTGTGACCTGGGAAAACTAGAAAGGACTAGAGGGGTGTCCTCCTGAGGGCATGCTGAAGCCTTGAGAGGCAATGAGCACTTCTCCCAGTGTGCTGGGTTTGGGGGTTGAAGAGAAGGCGAGGAAAAGTGCACTGCAGTAAAAGTCAACATGGAGTCACCGAGATTCATGGTCACATCTGGTCCTGGCACTGGAATTGCTGTTGAGACAAAGGAAGAACTCAAATGGAGGTGGTAAGTCAACCAGTACTCCAAAACTCACTGCTGAGTTGATGCCAACTCACTGCTACCTAACGGGCTAGAGTACAACTATCTCTTTGAGTTTCTGAGACTAACTCTAACTGGAGTAGAAAGATCCTTCTTTGACCTTTAGAGAAGCTGACCTTGCAATTAACACCGGAATGAGTAACCACTATATCACCAAGACTCCTTCAACCAGGTACTGGGCCATCACCCTTCCCTATAAAGTGGATAGGAATCCAAAGGATCAATCTCAACAGGTGAGAATCAGTATGGACTCTTTTATGTTGATAATTGCCAAAGTCCCAAGAGAAAATTGAATTCTATCCATAGAAATGAGGAAAAGTTAATCCCTAAAGAACTGGTAAGAGTTTCAACTAGACTACCAGGCCCAATCATTCAATGAGTGCCTATCTCAGGATATGGCAGGGAAATAACACTTCCACCCACATTGGCTGCTCCCAAGACATGGTACTGTTGATCATTTCACTGTCTGACAGGCCCCTCAGCATGCTCACCGGCAGGGAAGGAACATTATTGAAGGGAAGGCATCCTCAAGTCTTTGTTGAAGGTGTCAGATGCCAAGGGAGCAGTTTTCAACATCTCCTTTTGAGCCTTCCTTTTCCTGATAATCATAATCATACCACCCCCTTTGTGTCCCCAACTCCAAGTTGCCCTCCCCAGCCTCCCCAGGTGGGGTGCCCTGAGTGCTGACAGAGTCAGTTCCTAATCTACTTCTACTCAGAGACCTTGTCCCCACAAGAAGTGTCCAGGTTTAAATCCCCCAAATTTGAAGGGTGGCAGGGACTCTGATAACACAACTCTGACTGACGAGGCTGACCTCCAGCAGGAGAAAATTCCCTGTCCAGGACTCAGAGGGTGATCTGGCTCCAATGATGCTCCTTGATCGAAGAAAAGTAAGCTAATTTGAATCTAAACAGGAGTAGAATGGAGGCCCTTTAGACATTCTACAGTGGGGGAGGGGTGGGGGGGACCAGATGGAGTAGGACGTGGTGAGACATTCCATGAAGGGGTCCTTAAATGGTACCGTTTCCTTCAAAGGACAACTGATCATTCAAATTGTGGGGACCTCTTTGGGTGATTTGCAGTTTCTTTCTGAGATTCACTACACAGTCTACTGTAGGCTTCAATTCTCAACAGTATTAATAGTGTTGTGCCCCTAAACCCACCCTCCTCTCCAACTCTAAGTAGTAGAGTCTTGAATTTCCAGTGTAGCCAGTACTGTGTTAACAAAATTCAGGAAACATTGACCAAGGAGGTCTTGGGAAGATATAGAGAAAATAATACTGAATATTTGAAATGAGATAATCTTAGTACTTCAATAGTGTTCAGTGTGTGTACCCATGTAGTGTGTGTAGTCACCATTGTTGCATGAGCAGTCCTTGTGTCCCCAAACTCCTATGTACTACTCAAAGCTCTGGAGGCTACAGCATGGCCAGTCTTTCCATTGGTTCTTTTTCCTGTCAAGCCTTACTTTAAAAATGGCCAGCAGCCTCTAATTCTTTGAGCAGTTTTAAAGTCCTATTGTTTCTCAGATGATGAGGTTGGACATAAATATTTAGGTTTAATTTTGCAGTAACCTTAAGTCAATAATTAAACCAGCAATCAATCCTCTGCATGCTTCCAAAGTCAAAATGTTTCAAACGGATTCTACGGTGACAAAGCCTCCATTTGCCCTGTACATTTGATCCTGGCAACTAAGTTCTCCATCCCAGAGGAAACCAATGTTCCCTTGGTTTTGTTTCTCTGTTTGTTCAATTGTCTTTATTCATATTTCCATTACATGGTCTGTGATTAAGGGTAACTCATGTAAGCTGTTACTTTTAATATAAAATGTTTTCTATATCATCTCTCTGCGTACAATTAAGATGTGTTCCAATATTTTCTTTCATTAAAAGTTACACATTCTTGTCTTTTGTTCTCTTTGTCCTGGTATCAATGATCCTATTACTAATTTTTTAGACTAAATTCCAAATAATAAAACCTTGTCATTCTCCGAAACTCCAAAGTCAGCATAAGAAAACATTAGCCATATGTAGCAAATAAAAAGAGAAGATGGGATATTCCATGTCATCTAGTACATACTTATTAAAATGTTATTCCCTGCTTATTAGAAATTCAGAGGGTTTTTTTTATAAATAGTGTTATTGGGGCTCTTAAAATAATCCATACATCAATTGTATCAAGTACATTTGTACATATGTTGCCATCATCTTCAAAGTATTTTATTTCTACTTGAGCCCTTGGTATCAGCTCCTTTTCTCTCTCCCTTCCCCCCTCCTTCAGTCCCCTCCTCCCACCCTCATGACCCCTTGATAAATTTTAAAATCTTATCATTTTCATTTCTTACACTGTCCACTGTCTCCCATCACCCACCTTTCTGTTGTTTGTCCCCCTTTTGTGTGGGGGTGGGGGTGGTGGTGGTGGTTATAAGTCAATCCTTGTGATCAAGTTCGCTTTTCCCCTCATTTTCCACCTACCCTCATGGTATCACGACTCTCATTACTGCTCCTGGGAAGATTATCTGTCCTGGATTCTGTGTGTCAAGAGCTCTTAACTGTACCAGTGTACGTGCTCCAGTCTAGCCAGATTTGTTAGGTAGATCCAGGGATATGGTAATGGGAAGTTGGGGAAAGAAGCATTCAAGAGAACTAGAGAATTGTTGTATGTTTTGTTGGTGGTATACTGCACTCTGACTGACTTGTCCCTCCCTTGTGATGCTCCTGTGAGGGGATGTCTACAGATGGGCTTTAGGTATCCATTCGATCCTCACTTGTTTGCATCTGTATTATTGTTTTGGGTCTTCTGATGCCTGATACCTGATCCTGTCAATACCTTGTGATCACACAGGCTGGTGGGCTTTGTTGCTTCTCTGCTAGATAGCTGCTTGCTTAATGTCAAGCCTTTAAGACCCCAGACACTATATCTTCTAATAACCAGAGGGTTAGAGAGAGAGAACGGGGAAAGAAGTGAAAATGGCAAAGTTTGGGGGAAAATGGAGAGAATAAAATAAAATTAATATTAGTAATAATAAGAGGCAGTCTGGATAGATGAGTTGTTAAAAAAGGGGGAAGTGGGGATGTGTTTTAAGCGGAGTAATAAGACATCATAGAAAAAATGGAAGCACATTTCACTAAGAAAAGAAGAGAGACAAAGCAGAAAGGGATGGTGGGTGTGGCAGGAGATATGATTAACAAATAAATCAGAAGGAAAAATATATATACACAAATGTACACATATATATATTTAGAACAGGAAGTAAAACTTAAGAAAAAACGTGAAAAGAGAGGGAAGGAGAAAGGAATGGGTTGGAAAGACAAAAGAAAGGTAAAAGTGAGAAAGAGGGAAAACTATGTTCAGAGAATTGGCAGGAAAAAAATATATACAGAAACTAGGCTTGAGTCAAAGTAGAAAATAGATAAAATGTCAATAAAAAAGAAAACATGAATTTAAAAATTGAATAGTAAAAATAAATAGATGGACAGCAGATAAGGAAACTATATAAATTATGGGGAAATTGTGAAATGTTTTGAATATGTAGGGAGCATGTCTGCAACTAATAGCCCATGAGATCTAGTCGTGTGGGGTCTCCAAGACCCCGAAGAACCAAGGCGTTTGCCGGGGTGATTTGGAACGCTGACTGCCAGGGAGGGCGAGGTATGTGCAGGGGAGGAGAAGCACACAGCAGTGGCTAGGACTGTTGGGCAATAGTTAACTGGAGTTATTCACAGCAGCTGTTGCAGGTCTCCAACTTCAAGAAATGTTGACATCTTTTAAAAAGCAAGCAAACAACTTTTAAGTTGCTTTTCTGGCTTCCAGGAAGTGCAGGATTCACTATTGGTGGCACTTCTGTATTTACTGAGGAATTCTCCCCGTGCTTACTATCTGGCAGCCACATTGCCCTTGTCCTGATTCAAGACCTCCTTTTCAATACATTAAGTCTATTATCTTTTACTCTGTGCTCCTTGGAATTAAGAAAGAATTAGCTGACCTCTCCTATTTAGCATCCCCCATGTGACCTTTGGGTGCAAATTCCTATCATAAGGCCAGAAAGCCAAGTCCCCAGAAGCCACACCATGTACTCTGAGGTCAATCTACTATAGACGCACCCTCACTGGATGATCATGAAGACTGTATGATTCATACCAGAAGGTAAGACACAAAGCACATATACATACTGCGTATCTTAAATGCCTTCCTTTATATAACAATGACATTTGGTGTTCTGACTGCTCTTTTTCATGTATTCTCCTTCAGAGTTTGAACACTTTTCTAATGCATATCTGAAGTGCTGTTGTTGAATTCTGTGTCCTATGTCTGAAGTGTGTTGACACCAGTGAAATTTAGAATAATTTCTTCCATGTGTTTCTGTTCATGTAGACTCATGCATATCAGCGTGTTCTTTCATGTACTCTCCTCATCGGTATCCAGAAGGGTCAGAAAATCATGATTTATTTAATTGTGCTTCTGCAAATTAATTATGTCATTCCCTAGAGGCACAACAACGAAAAGAGAGCCATGTCCCCAAGAAGCCAAACTTTGTTCCTTCCAGGTCCAACCAACCGCACAAGAAGAGCCTTGGGGAAGGCGAGACTCGCTCAAGATCTGGTGTCTAGCATCAGTCAGGAAAACAGAAAAACAAGCACCTTAACAAAAAAAGTTATCTCTGACCTGAATTATAGAAGTGTTGATGTTCCAGAAGGCCTATAAGTTAAGTATGAAAGTAGCATTTCATTAATAGATTATTAAAAAATGGAAACTGTGATAGGGTACTCACAAGAGCCCCCTACCAAAACAAACCCGGGCTTGTGATGAAGAGGCAGACTAGAAATGTATTACTGACATGTGAGAGGCTGTTGCCTAACTCTCCTGAAAAGTGGGTGAGTACGTCAGTCCAAAACTAAATGGAAAAACTAAATCAGACAGCTATGGATCCAGAGGGCATGGGCACCTCTTTTTTTTTAATTTTTTTATAACACCATAATTCACACACCAGTAAGGAGAACCATGATAAAGAAACAATGAGAAATACTTCCCCCCAAATAGCCATCTTTAATTACATCATAAAATAGGATCCTTACATATCTACTATTAATCATATGCAGCATGGGTGGGTTCATCGGTACTATGACCTGTCTTTGCCCTCTCTCTGTCCTCATCACATGCAAGCAAGATCCAAGCAACACTGATGCTGTAAGTGCGGAGCACTGACTTAATGAACAACTGCAGGACAGAGCATGCTAATATATCAGAAGTTTTCAACTTTAGGGTCTCAACTGTGGAAGAGGACAGACATCTACTGGCTGAAATGAACCTTCTTTCTTTTCTCACTAGCAGAAGGCTCACGCTTTCTTTTTCAAGGTAGTGAGGGCTTCCCTTCAGTCACAACCAAGCTTGTCTGCAAGACCCTCTGAGGTCAGCCCCTGAGGGGGGCCTCTTCTCATCAGAAGATGTAGCTGGCACATTAGACTTGGCAGATGTATGTTGTTGGTGACTAAAGCGTGCTGTCTCGAGAGAGAGAGGGGCGGGGATGCTTTCCAAGGGCCTTGAACTCCATGATGGAGGATGCCAGAGGTGTAGAGAGTACTCTTGGATTGACTCCAGGGCAGCAGTCTTTGTTGGGATGCCAAGAGGAACGACAGGCTTAGGAGCTCTTCCTCCTCTTCGTCACTGGGCCCTTCTTCTATCCCTGCTGTTTTAGTTGTAGGAGGTCTTTGCAGGAACCTACAGCATCTCTGGTTGCCAGTGGAGTGGAAGTATGACTGTGATCCCGGTGTTCAGACTGCAGTTTCTGCAACTTTTGACTCCAGGTAAAGACAGTAACTTCTTTTGTCTTGGGAGAGTAGTCTTCATTATCCCCTCTGGTCACTTCCTGTGCATTCGACTTTTTGATACTTGTGTCATTAAAGGGCTCTATTGGGTAGCCTTGGTAACCTGTCCTTCCTGAATCTTGTATCATCTCAGAGTCTGAAAAAATCAACTCCATTTGGGTCACACCATAACTTAGGGGTGCATCCATCCCGTCTTTCTCCGTTAGCTCTAGCAGTTGCTTCTGCATCAACAGCAAGGAAGAAAATAGACAGTTACCGTCTCTGTGCCACTTGTGAGAACACATCCTGAAGCAGTTGGTGGAGATCATCATATTGGGGCATAACTCACAGAAGTCAGTCATATGACTGTATATCAGCTACCCATACTTCAACTTTTTCTGCCCATCCTCTTGTATTAAATTGACAATGATTTATTCCTTCCCATGCCTCCTCTCAGCACCTCAATAGTTTCCCAACTCCATCCTCTGTACCTGCTCCCACCCTTGAAGCTTTCCCAGCAGCCACGCTAGCCATGCTTACTGAAATAATGCACATTTCATGTCTGGTCCTTCCTTCCTTTTCTGACTCACCTGAGTGAGAGTGGGTCCTTCCTCCTGTTCAAGTTCCTCAACTAAGTCTAAAGGATTGTCCTGTGGGTCTGGAGATAGTAACATTTCCAGGAATGGAGGATAAATGACTGCTTCCACCTGATGAAAGAAGTGAGTGTGAACATAATGGGCAAGGAGTAAACCTGTGATGTAGATGTTCTAGACATGAGTCAATACTCCCTCGGTTGATTTTCAATCACATTTGTATGAAAAGAACCCTGCTAGTATTGGTGAAATCACACCTCCATTAATCAAAAGGTCTTAATTTCTAACTTACCGGCTACTTTGGGGGAGAAAAATATGACAATGTTCTTTTTGTAAATATTTACAGCCTTGCAATATTTTATCAGGTCTACTTTATTTCAATGCTGCTACACATCAGACTGACTCAACTGAAATCAGTTTGGGTTGCTGTGATTCTGATAAAATACAATCACACCAAACTACACATGGGCATATATATACATAGACACAAAGACGGAGTCAGATGTAGACATAGACAGAAACCAAACCTACAGCCATCGAGTTGAATCCAAATCTTGGAGACAGTATATATCAGCTTGAGACTGTAAATGTTTAAGAAACCACATATTTTCATCTTTTACCCTTGAGGCGCAGTGGGTACAAACTAGTGACATTGTGGTTTACTCTCCAGTGTACATATAGCCAATGACACAACGAAGGAAAATATTAGTCAAGAGGTTTATAATCATGCTTAAGTGAAAGCACCTGAGTCTGAAGCCCAGCAATTGCTATGAATGCCAAGCTTTCAGAATCTCTAGACACCTGTGGGCCAGGCCCAGCTCCCCTTAGTGACAAAGGCTTCCTGTGAAGAGAGAATGCCGATGCAGCTCATGAGCATATGCCATCCTCTTCTCCACGCTGCTCACTTTCTTCTCCTCCCCACTGGTCATCAGCCTCTCTAGCGGCAAAATCTGCAGACCCCCCGCAGTCTATTCATGCTGTCCGCATACTCTTTCACAGCTTCAGGAGGGACCTTCTTGGGTGCTTTGGGCTCCCAAAGGTGCTTAGATCTCTGCTGCCTCTGGTCAGGAGGCTCTGCCTTCCCACCTCTTTTTTTTGGAATGACAACCAGAAGAAGGTTTAGAAAGGATGAAGTAAATGCTACAGCCAACCCCAGCACACCACAATCAACCACATTTGGTAAGGGCAGTGTGTTGGATATGCTGAAATGGGTCCTGATGAGTAGGGACCACCTGGAGGCACTAGGAAAGTAAGAGAAGATAGGGGAGAGATGGTGTGCAAGAGGAGAGTCATTGTGTGAGGATGCTTGGAGCTACGGCTGTTCCAAGAACACACTCATTTACACCCAGTTTTTTGGTTGTTTTTGCTGAATAACTATTGGGTGCTAGCTTTAATACTCCACATGTTCCAACAGTTATGAAACTATTCTAGCTCATTACATTGTGTGTAATGAAGTCAGACACCTCAGGTCCTTGGCAGTCTGGCCAGATTAAAACTAGCCATTGCCCTCTTTGACGAAAAGCACCTGATTTGAAGACAATGGCCTTCCCTAAACATGGCCAGTGTCTGCACATCTCCTCTGGCTTCTACATTACCTCTGGTTGTAGGCTGGGTACCGATACTTGGGTATTGACGAACCACCCCGGCTGAAGATCTGTGAGAATCAAGTTTCTGTGGCACTGGAGGAGGCAAGAATGCAGACCATGCCTTCTTCCCCATGGGAACTATGTGGTTCTGGTTGACTCTTCACTAGGGGGAAATGGAGGCCAACAGGGCAGCTGGTGATATACTTGAAGAACCGGGGACTTAGCTCCCTTACAAGCTTGCGTCCTTACAAGAGAAGAGGCAGGAGTTGTTTGCTCCAAAGTAGAGGCTGCCTCGAATGGGGGTGGAGCATGTACAATAGCTCTCCCAGGTGGCACTGGACAACTCCAGTTGAGCAGCATCTTAGTTACAGGACGCTCTGTTGCCGTTCCTTCTGCTGGACTTGGACAATGACTGCTGTCCCACTATACCTCGAGTCCTGACCTCCAGTCACGAGCAGTGCCTGTGACCTGGTGAAACCAGAAAGCACCAGAGGGATGCTCTGAGGATATACAGAAATCTTAAGAGGCAGAGAGCACATCTCTCCGACATGGAGTCACCAGGATTCCTGTTCATATCTGGTCCCAGCACTGGAGTTGCTGTTGATGCAAAGGAAGAGTTCAGATGGAGGAGGAAAGCCAACTAGTACTTCAAATCTCACTGCTGCAGGGTTGATACCCTCTCAGAGTGACCCGAGGTTAGGGTGAACGTGCCCCTGTGAGTTTCTGAGACTGTAGCACTATACTGAAGTACAAAGACCCTTCTTGCCTCTTAGGAGTAGGCTGTGGTTTCCAACTACTGAACTTACAGTGAGCAGCCGAAGGGGAAACCATTATACAAACGGGATGCCTCCAATCAGGTATGGGGTCATCCCAATTCCCAGCAAAGTGGCTAAGATTCTTAGAGATCAA